CTTCACAGGCTGCTGCCACCCTTGCCTGCTGACATGGCTCCATGCGAGAGGCGGAGGGAACTGTCCGTCCGAGGCTTCTCTGCACTCACCACGGACAGGTACTCCTCGCTGGTCGGAGGTACATCCTTGGTAATGATGCAAACAAGGACAGAGCTGCGTGTATACCTATACGATATACAGAGTATAAATAGATGCACATAAGCACACCGCCTGTTCCTGTACTATACCTCTCCTTCCACTCCTATAGAGTAATACACACCTGTACACAAAGAAACAAACACCATATATATAAAATTATATATATATATAAATACACATGCATCTTTTCAGGGATAGCTCTAATATATTTATAGTATCTATTTGAAGAGGGGCATCAACCTTCTGTGTGAGCTTTACCTCTTCAGGGCAAGAGGTACACCAATGGAATCATTGCTGTGACCTTCTGCCTCCCTTGGACTTCCTGCGATCCTGCCGGGTAAGGGGGATGCTTCAGGGACATAGGTTCCAGGAGAGAGGGCTGGGTGGAGAGGGTCTGTCGTGGTCCTGGGTTGAGCCCTCCCAACATTTCCACCAGCCAAACAAAGAAGACTCTCTGCCCACCCCACAGGGTTACTGGGACAGAAGGAGGTCAAACCCAGATTTGGGGGACACTGGTTTGGGGGCAGAGGGACGGTAACCAGGGTTGTTGTTTTGGGTTTGTTTTAAATATATATACTGCCCCAGCATGCAAGTAGAAACTATGATTGCAAACCAAATTAGCACTCTTCTAGGACAGCGAGACTATATAAAATGAACCTCCGCTGTTCCCATGCATGTCCCATTGCCATCAAAAGAAGGGAGGCAAGTTGTCATAGATGCAGTTTAGACACATTTTGATGCTAAGGGCTCTCATATAATCCAAATGCTGCCCACGGAGCCTGGACATATAATAAGAAATTCCATCCAGTAGACGCTTAGTGAGAGACTTGCCACCTAATGGGGATGGAAAGCATAGCTCTTTAGAGCATCTTCCAGTGTGATCATAAAGGGCTCAGGACCCACCTGGGACTCTCTAGCTCACAGAGTACACAGGCTATCCTCGACAGCTTCTTCACACTGGCCTCCAGCCAGCCCCGCCAACGTGTTGATTTCCTGATTTTGCTCAGCATTCATGGGGTAGTTTCATTCCATTCATGCAGCGCCCCCAGGTTCTGTTTGACATCGTGTATGATTTCTCAGATCTGTGTGAATAGAAAATAAAACCAGCAGGGAAAAAAATGGCCTACTACATTGATGGAAAATACGCAGTTTTTCATTTCCCCGAGTCACCCTTTTCCTAAAATCAGTTGAAAAGGTCCATTGAGGATGGCTCATTCTTTCGTACTCATCCTACACCTAAGCTGGCACACACCCCATCTGGGGGCTCTCCCACTCGTGTTCTCGTCTCCAGGCTATTGTGTCACTGACACGGCTGTGATTTAGCTGTGAGCACAGACCTCCTAGCACAGGGAGGAAGGATGCAGACAGAACTCACCGCTGAGAAAGGGAGGAAGGGGACCTGGCATCCAGCTCAGGCTCAG